AACATACATATCTTAATTTTAAAAAACACTTTATTGCTAAAGGATGCTAACTATCAAGTGAGCTTTCAGCAAAGTGTGATCTTTTTGCTGTGGAGGGTCTTGCCTCAATGTCCATGGCTACTGACTGATCAGGGTCATGGTTGCTGAAGGCTGGGGTGACTGTGGCAGTTTCTTAAGACAAACTGAACTTTGCCGCATCAATTGACTCTTCCTTTCATGAACAGTTTCTCTGTAATATGTGATGCCTTTGGATAGCATTTTACCCACAGTAGAACTTTCTTCAGAACTGGAGTCAGGCCTCTCAAATTCTGCTGCTGCTTTATCAACTAAGTCTGTCTCATAGTCTAAATCTTTTGTTGTCATTACAACGATCTTCACAGCATCTTCACCAGGAGTTGATTCCAACTCAAGAAACCGCTTTCTTTGCTCATTCATAAGCAGCAGCTCCTCATCCCTTCAGTTTGATCATGAGATCACAGCAATTCAGTCCCATGCTCAGGCTCTAATTTGAGTTCTCTTGCTGTTTCCACCACATCTGCAGTGACTTCCTCCACTGAAGTCCTGAGCCCCTCAAAGTCATCTACAAGGCTTGGAATCAGCTTCTTCCAAACCCCTGTGCATGTTCATATTTTGACCTCTTCCCATGAATCACAGATATTCTTAATGGTATCTACAACAGTGAATCTCTTCCAAAAGGTTTTTAATTTGTTTTGCCCAGATCCATCAGAGGAACCACTATGGCAGCTATTGCCTTACAAAATGTATTTCTTTCTTTCTTTTTTTTTTTTGATCGCATCGCTTTTTAATTGAAGGACAAAAGTTGGTCACATTCAGAGATAAGCGGGTCTCATGCAGATAGTTAAAACCATCCTTCTCTTTCTTGGTTAACCATCTCCTAATTTCAAGTAACATCCACGAGTTCTTTAGGACCATCTGAAATTGTCCTCTGAGGAACTCCGCCACACCACCTCGTAACACACATGACCACATGCACTGCTGGACGGCGTCTCACTGGATATCATCATCATCAAACAGATCTTCAAAATCATTGAAAAAGTCTGCATGAACTGCCTTCTCATTGGCTGCCAAGTCCATCAGGAGCCCCATGCTGCTTCCTGCCTCGTCCAGGTCCACGTAGGGCCCAGCGCCCTCAGGGAACATCTCATCCACTGCCCGCTTCATCTCGCCTGTGGGGCCTCCTGCCTCCCTGGCCCACTTCCGGCCCGCCTCACAAAATGTATTTCTTAAATAATAAGGCTTGAAAGTCACAATGACTCCTTGATCCATGGGCTGTAGAATGGATGTTGTGTCAGCAGGCATGAAAACATGAATCTCACTGTCCATCTCCATCAGAGCTCCTGGATGACCAGGTGCGTTGTCCGTGAGCAGTAATATTTTAAAAGGAATCCCTTTTTTCTGAGCAGTAGGTCTCAGCAGTGGGCTTAAAATATTCAGTAGACCATGTTGTAAACAGATGCGCTGTCATCCAGGTTTTGTTATTCCATGTATAAAGGCCAGGCAGAGTAGATTTAGCATAATTCTTTCAAGCCCTAGGATTTTTAGAATGGTCAATGAGCAGTGGCTTCAACTTAGTTACCAACTGCATTCTCCCCTAATAAGAGAGTCAGCCTGTGCTTTGAAGCTGTGAAGCCAGGCATGACTTCTCGCCAGTTTTCCAAGTCCTAGACAGCATCTCCTTCCAACAGAAGGCTGTTTCATCTATATTGAAAATCTGTTGCTCAAGTCCTTCAGGAATGACCTTAGCTAGATCTTCTGGGTCACTGGCTGCAGCTTCTACATCAGCACTTGCTGCTTCACCTTGTGATTTTTTTTTTAATGTCATAAAGACGGCTTCTTTCCTTAAACCTCATGAACCCACCTCTGCTAGCTTCCAGCTTTTCTTCTGCACCTTCCCCACCTCTCTCAGCCTTCACAGAATTGAAGAGAGTCAGGGCCTGGCTCTGGATCAGGCTTTGGCTTAAGAGAATGTTGTGGCTGGTTTGAACTTCTATCCGGACCACAGAAATTTTCTCCGTATCAGCACCAAGGCTGTTTGCTTTCTGATCAATCATGTGCTTACTAAAGTAGCACTTTTCATTTCAAGTACTTTTCTTTTGCACTCACAAACAGCCAGCTGGAGCAGGAGGCTAGCTGCCGGCCTGTCTCAGCTTTCCACATGCTTTCCTCACCAAGCTTAGTCATTTCTAGCTTTTGATTTAAAGTGAGAGACATGCGACTCTTCCTCTCACTTGAACACTTAAGAGGCCAGTGTAGGATTATAAATTGGCCTAATTTCTTTTCTTTTCTTTTAAAGATTTTATTTATTTATTTGACAGAGAGAGAGACAGCGAGAGAGGGAACACAAACAGGGGGAGCGGGAGAGGGAGAAGCAGGCTTCCCGCAGAGCAGGGAGCCCGATGCGGGGCTCGATCCCAGGACCCTGAAATCATGACCTGAGCCGAAGGCAGATGCTTAACGACTGAGCCACCCAGGTGCCCCTCTTTTCTTTTTTTTAAGATTTATTTCTTTATTCCCGAGTAGGGGAGGGATAGAGGGAGAGAGAATCCTAAACAGACTTCTTGCTGAGCGTGGAGGCCAACATGGGGCTCGATCCCACGACCCTGAGATCAGGACCCAAGCCAAAATCAAGAGTTGGACACTTAACTGACTGTACCACCCAGGCACGCCAGTTGGCCTAATTTCACTATTGTTGTCTCAGGGAATAGAGAGGCCCAAGGAGAGGGAGAGATGGGAGAACAGCCAATCAGTGGAGCAGTCAACACACACATTTATGGATTAAGTTTGCTGTCTTATATGGGTGCAGTTTGTGGTGCCCCACAATAATTACAATAGTAACATCAAAGATCAGGGATCACAGATCACCATAACAAATATAATAACAAGGAAAAGTTGGAAATCCTGAGAGAATTACCAAAATGTAACACAAGAGACGTGAAGTGAGCAAATACTATTGGAAAACTGGTCCCAATAGACTTGCTTGATGCAGGGTTGCCACAAAGCTTCAGTTTGCAAAAGACGTTAATATCTGCAAAATGCAATAGAGCAAAGCACGATAAAATGAGGTATGTCTCCAAAGCAGTAGCCCCAATTTAAGGACAAAAGGGAGAGTAGGATGCAGAGCAAAGGCGTAGTCTTCATCTTTCTCTCACCCAGATGGGTTTGATCAAGACAGTTGCCCCAAGTTCATTTTGGACCAGGTTGGTTTTTTGTTTTTTTTTTCACTTATTCATCAACTGTTTGAGGCCCACCCTTTGTCAGGCCCTGTGGTCAGTGCTGGGGATGGATGGAGCAATGACCAAGGCAAACAGGAGCTGTGCCCTCAGGGAAATTAGAGTCTCCGAGGGAGTCACCTACACTAGCAGGGTGCTTCCTGTTCTCCTTTTACTTCCTGGGTCCCTACAGATTGTCGGGGATGAATGGTGAGGACTCCCTAATTTGGGCACATTATGTGGCGTTGATGGGACTTTGACTCAGAGACTCTAAGTGCAGACTCTCCAGGCCTGTCTGCAGAGTTCCTAGGCTTGGGATAAGCCTGGCCTCAGCCTGCGCCAAAGAACCCCTGCCTGTTTCCCTGGCACATTAATGGAGTAGAAGTTTATGCCACCCCCTCTGCATCCCGGAGACACAGAGCCACTGCATACGATAAGACACTGGGTTGGGTATGAGCCACTTGCCCACAACTTCCTAAGCACATGGCCTCATCCATACCACTGTGTGTTTACAAGGCTGACGCATGTGCTCTGCTAGCCCCTGGCCCCTGTTCTTGCCCCCTTCCTGACCCTCTGGGACTGGCCTCCTCTCTTGAAAAGCCTCTTTACTGCCACCTCCTGAGGTGAATGACTTCCCTGTTGCCTTTTCAGGCTAGCAAAACACCTTTGAGTGCCTCAGTTTCGGGAGCATGGCATTCAGATGCAGGCTGGGCCGAGATGATGTTTTACAGACGGAGAAACTGAGGCACAGTGAGATCAGCTAGCTACTGCTTGTCAGGACCACCCAGGTCTTAACCTCTCTCGGTCCCCCATTTGGTATACCACTCTCAGCAGGAAGGCAAATTATCTGCCCCTAGATCACTTCCATTCTCCCTGATCTGGGCCATGAGGATAACATGAAAGAACACGGCGTGAGAAATCTTAAGGAAATAAGATTCATGTTTTATTTCCACAAAGAAACCCCAAAGTAGGAAGCTTCTCCTGAAGAACTGTCACAGTGACTTCAGGTCACAAAACAGAGTAGCTGAAGAAAGTGGCAGGTTTATCCGATGAGGTTCCTGGACAAGGAGACCCCACAGTGCAGCTGGAAGAAACAAGCGACAGACAGATCAGGCTCAACCTGGAAAAAACAGGTGTCAGCACCCAGACCGAGCCTGACACAGGGAGAGAGTTGGGGGCGGGGCACAGTTGCGCTCCTTGATGGCTGATGTTGTTCAGCGCCTCAGTTATAATTGGAAATAATTTTCTAGAAGAAAAGAAAGAGCAAACAGTAGAATGTGCCTGCTCCTGAATGTGTTTAAACCGGGTACCCTTTCATCCAGCCTCTACGCTCCCAGTTTTTTGGTGTCCTACCTGTTTCACCTGCGCATCCCCTTACTCCTGCTTCTCCCTGAAACAGATTTTGTGGTTTTGCCAAGTTTATCTATTGCCCCTTCCCCACTGGCAACTCACTTCTTCCTGCCTCTGAACCTTTCTCTGCAGTTCCCCCAGACCCTTCTGTCCCGTCCCTCTCCTCCACCTCCCCTTATGGCTGTCCCTGCACGGCCCCGCCTCTGGCAGGCCTTCACTCAGCGCTCAGAGGGTGCTTTCCGAGGGTCCTTGGTCATTTCCTGATGAGTCTTTCTCCACGCCCCATGCTGGGGTCTCCTTCTCGATGCCTTTAGAACATCCACCCAAAGCAAAGCGAATGCCAAGGTCCCAGCCCTGCCCCTGGGGTGGCTGTGCCTCAGCTCCTGGATGCAGGCTTGCACTGCTCACTCTGACACTCACCTACCAGAACTTCACCCACTGCAGTGGGCCAGGGCGCACCGGGGAAGCCTGCAGGACAGGGAGAACGTCTGAGTGGCCATGGCCATGGCCCTGGCCCTGCATACCCTCTGGCCCCACACCCCTTCTCTCAGGAGCCAGATTTTCTCTGCCCCACTACTCACCGAGGAAGAAGGCGTGGCTCCCCCCTGGAAAGAGATCAGAGGAGGTGATGTGGGGCTACAGTGACCTCTGCCATGTCTTCGGGGCCCAGAGGCAGGCTCAGACCCAGATTATCTTGGAAGTCCTTGGGCCTCACTGTGGACATGCAGCCCACGGACTTTCTTTCAAAGCAGATTTATCATCCTAAGTACATTTACCCAAGATGAGCACACACTGGCCAAGTAGAGTGAACAGAAGGTAGATAGGTAGATAGGTGTCCTTCTGCCTGCTAGGTGGATGGATAGAAATTGGCCACAAATCATTGGAGAGCGGATACCACGGGCAGCATTAACTGCTTCTTTACCTGCTTCCAGTCAGGAGGTGACTCCTGATCTCTCAGCAGAAGTCCTGTCCCTGAGGCCAGGGGCTTCCTTGTTCTGAGAGATGGAGGGAAATAGCACCTGTTTTTTCTTCACCAGCATAATTATCATTTAGCATGTTCATTTACTAAATTTATAAGATTGCTTTCTTTGCAACTGAACGAAACAAGTCTCAGAGTTGTTTTGTTTTGTTTCTGTTATTTCCTTTGTGGAACAAAGCATTAATTTCCCCACCAACCACAAGTTTCTGGGCAAGCCTCCCCTAAGTGTTAGTGTGCCCCCTCTCGCCCCCCCCACCCCCCACGAAAGTCAGCAGTTAAAGAGGTGGAGAGAACAGACACTACTACATGGGAAGGCTGCTAGTTTTGCTGTGTGTCATGTGAGTTTTTTTAGAGCTGTATTATCACCCTTTGAGAGGATGTTGGTTCCCAGTTTTCTCCAGGGCATGTGACACAGCTGCTGCCCCCTTGTAACCTTTTCTGAGTGGGTGGGTGTGGAGAACATTGAACCTCCCACGCTCCACTTCCAGATGGCTCTCAGGGAGCCCGAGTCTCCCTACACAGGGGCGAGACATGACTTTCAAAATGAACAGGATTCAGCCTCAGCTAAGCCTGGCCGTGAAAGCCTCCCTCCCTCACCCCCCATGCAGAGACCCCAGTGTGGAAACAGGGCAGTTGGAGTCTTACCTTAGAGGGGATCTTGGCTGCGTACTGCCCACCAGAGGGAGTAGGGTATGCCTGCTGGTTATAGGTGTTCTGTGGGGAAAAGCCAGGGGGCGGGGGGAGGAGGGTGTTGGTAGAAGAGAAAGGATGAGGGCATTTTGCTGTGGAATAAATATCCTGGCTCCTGGCCTGGGCCAGACCTGTCTCTAAGCCCCCGCTTTCCCTCCATGTGTCATGCATTTTTTTCCATAGAATCTTCCTTCAGCCAGCCAGAGCCCACAGTCTCACCTCACTTAGTGTCCTATTCCTCCCCCTTCCCTGGTACCTCTCCCAGCTCCTCAAGTGTTACTCGAGAGATGAAGGCAGGAGACCAAGGAAATGAGTGAGGTTTGAATCAGGTGGTCAGGTGGCAGATGTCTTACCTTAGAAGTCACAGTGGCCACCTCTTGCCACCCTGAGCCAGACTGAGAAAACAACAGAATGGGGGTGTGGAGGAAAGCAAATTTCAGACTGGCCAGCCCTGAGAACCAGACCGAGAGGGACCTGGGGCCATCAAAGGCAGTCTGAGGGCAGAGCGACTCACCTGACTGGCACTGCCTGACCTCTTCTGGAGCAAGGACGCATCAGCACCCTGGAAGGGAGAGAGCCGCCGTGAGGGTGTCCTTGTCCAAGGTCCTTAGGGCCCTGCCAGACTCGCGGGGCTCCAGCAGCCTGCTGCCTAGGCTCTGCCCTCCCATAGGAGCACCCAGCACCCACGCACCCCACCGCACCCCTCTCCATGGTCCAGGATCAGCACTGCCTCCAGAGAAGGCAGTGAGCCTGGAGGACACTGATGACCCCGATAGATGCAGGACAGATTTCTACACTCAGTTTTGGGGAGCGAGGCACCCCCACCCCCACCCGTGCATCTGGAGCTTCGGCCGGCCGGCCTGGGACTGAGCAGGAATGGCAAGTGAGCGATGCCCACACGGCTCCCTTGGGGCAGACACGGCACCTCAGCCCCAACCCACCTTCTGCCGACACCAAACCCTACTCCCTCCTTAGCCCTATAATTCCTGTTCACAAACACTGTTCCCATAGGGTTCCTGGAAGGATGGCCTGTTATCCTCAGCAAACAGAGGCAAAGTGAAGTGATTAGATTGGCACTGGGCCGAAGGAGAGAGAGAAAGGGGAGAAATGCAAGAAAGCCCATCAAGCCACGTGAGACACAGCGCCGGTGCATGGGCCATCTCCCCCCACCCCCACCCCCAGTCAGGGCAAGTGGAAAATTAGCAGCAGCAGGAGAGTTTAGCTTCTGCGACCACCACTTCTCCACTTGGAACGCCCACTCCCACCCCCCCACACACACACATACACACACGGTTAGGATGTTCCTCCTAACTCTGACTTAACTCCCATTGAATTTTAGCCCCACTCTCAGCCCTAACACTGAGGTCACAAACTGCTTGACCACCGGCCTCCGGGTATTTTTTGCTTGGCCTGCATTTTTAAATTAAATTAGTTGTGAACAGTTAAAAATCAGATTTCCATCAGACGACATGGCCACACTGGTTATTCATGAGTGCATGACCACACGCACCTGGAGGGCCCTGACCTCCCCCTTTGTGTGGCCTCACCTGTCCAGCCTCATGTGCCTGGTCCACACAGACGAGTGAGTGGGCAACCTTTGCGTCAGTGCCCAAAGGCCACCGGCCATGAAGAATTAAGATGTGGCCTTCTGCAGGACCCCTCCTTCCCAGAACCCAGATATTCAGACCTTCTGCACCTGCTCACGCTTAACCATGGCCTGACCTGCTCCCCTCATGCCTCCTGTTTCCTTTCAGCTTTCCTCCCTAATGCTACTTTCCCAGTTCTGAGAGTTGACCCCAGCTCCAGGCCCCTCTCTTCCCCACCTCGTGTCCCCTCCCCCTGCTCACCCTGCAGTACCCACCCAGCTGAGGCTCCCCCCGAGCCAGGCCACGCCCAGCAGGACCAGCAGCAGAGCAGAGACAGTGGCTGGCTTCATGTTCCTGTGCCTGTGGAGGCCCCAGCCCTTGGCTTCAGCTTTTATCCTAGGGAGGACTGCCCACCCTACTCCTTCTCTAGTGACTCACTGGCTCCTCTCTCCTACCCCACCCCCACTTAGTGTTGCAGAAAGGGAGGAGAGTGGGAAGGGAGGGAGGCACCCTCTCTCAGCAGGGAAGGTAAGCAACAGGGACTGAATGCAAGCCACTGCCAAGAGCCCAGGTCCCATGTCCCCAGATTTGGACTTCCTGATCCCAAAACGAGAGGTTCTGCCACTCTTACCTCAATAATGGCTTTCCAGTTCAGGAAAGGGGTGTTGTGTTTGAAATCCTAGAGGAAGGAGAAGACACGAGTGGGCGTCAGAGCGGGGAGTGTAGCAACTTGTTGGAAAGTTTCAAGCTCATGTGCAAGAATGGGTTTGGGTGCCTGGGTGTGGTTTGGGGTTAGATGAAGATAAGCATACCAGAGGTTGAGGGTGTTAGCACTTCTGATGGTATTCGGGTGAGATTACCCATCTCAAAAATGAAAAGTGGGCGAATTTTGTGACAGGTGGGCCGGAGCTTGAGGAGGTGGGGAGAGGGACAGATGACCAGATCCCCAGTCCTCTGAAAAGTGAGAGTTCTCCTACCTCCCAGAGTCGGCTGAAGTAGAGCAGGGTGCGTGTGCTGGGGCGTGGGACTTGGCCCTGTAGAGGAAAGGCAGGGTGCAGGTGAGCAGGAAGCCCGGCCCCTTGCTCACCTACACCCCTATTCCTGATACCACCATCGCTCAGCCTTCAGAATGTAATCGTGCCTAAGGTTTGGGGAGAAGCTGGGTGTCTTTTAGGGACACCAGAAAACTGCTTTTTGCTGTGGAATAAATACCCTGGCTCCTGGCAGGGGAAGCAGAGGGAGAGAGATTAGATCTCTGGAGCCGCTAACCAGCCCCCCTTCCCCCCCCACAACACCACACTCTTCACTCTCCCTGCTTCCCCAGCCTCTGGCAGAACCTCACTGCAGCCAAACCTCGGGGGACCGGGACCTGCCCCCAGGGCTTCCCGCCTTCTTACCTGCCCTTCCACCCCCAGCCCACTTGCCAAAGCTATGGGGCTGCGGTTGATCCTTCCAAACCCCCCTGGAACAACAATGGAGATGTAAGAAAGGAGCAGAGACCCAAAGTGTGGGGCAGCTACGGTTTATTTCAAGGGTAAGGGTTGAGATTAGTGGTGGGGTAGTGGGGTTTTAAGATGGGGTGGGGGGTTCCCATCCATCTGGTAGCTCCTTGTCTGGAGGTCACGGGGTGCGAAAGCTCCTCTGGTCCTGGGCAAAGAAATAAGTTCTAAGAGGGAGCTCAAGGAATAAGAATTCAGGGCCTAATTGGCCAAGTCAGGGGTGGATTAGGCCTCTGCTCCTGAAATCTGCAGGGATCTTTTTGCCCATGGCTGTCATCCAGCCAAATCCAGATATTCCAGTTTGGGATGGAACACCTCACACTTGCCAAGAACTGTTACGTATAGTCTCCCTGTTGTCCCTGCTCACTCTGGCCCCAGTGCTCAGCTCCCTCCTTGTGAAGACGATGGGCCTTCGGTTCTCCTCTCTGCCCATCTCTGGCCTGCACCCCCCTTCCTAGATCTGCTCCGGGGGGAGCTGCCCCAAATGGATCCTGCCTAACTGTGAGCGCTCCATTTACTGCCCCTCCCCCCAGATGTGCAAGAATGTTCGCTGCCTTCCTGGCCCCCAGGAAGTATCAGTCTGTGCCTCTGACCCTAAGTTCCTCGTGCTCTGGGGCCTCGTCTACCCCAGCTCCATGGTAAGGAGCCTCGCGCCTACCAGAGACCATTCTCCCTAAAACAGAAACAGTCGGGGCACCTAGGTGGCTCAGTTGGTTAAATGTCTGCCTTCCACTCGGGTCAAGATCTCAGGGTCCTGGGATCGAATCCCGCATGGGCTCCCTGCTCAGCGGGAAGCCTGCTCTCCCTCTGCCTGACGCTCCCCCTGCTTGTGAGTGCTCTCTCTCTGACAAATAAATAAATACAATCTTTAAAATAAAAATAAAGCAGAAACAGTCCATCTGGCTCCTTTAGTTCATCCAAACCTGCACCGCGCTGCACTTTTACTCTCCCACCTTCTTCCCCGAGTTGCAGACTTGGCCTTGCCTAAGGGTAGGGCTTTCTCTTCACCTCCCTGTCTACCACCACCTTGTCTCCCCCACAAGTTTTAGAGGGCAGGGAGCCTTGTCTTCCTTCTTTTACGGTAAGGGTCCGAAGCCCAGCTGCTGGGGTGACTGTGCCGGGCAGCAGCCTGTGGCACCTGGAGAGAAGCAGCCGCTAGTCAGCTCTTGTTTGTCAGAGGAGCTTGAGCTTGAGGAAAGAGGGTCCCGCATTGCCTCATTTTTCAAGAGAAGCCAGAATTCCGAGTGTTTTATAAAACCTCTCAGTTTTTAAACTTTGGCAACTGATTCATAGTGTCTTTAAAATTAAAAAAAAAAAAAATGGATCAAACAAAGCACATCAGTGGGCCGTCAGTTGCAACTTCTGCCTTTGGTGTTTGTTCATGCTGTTGGTCTGCCTCTGCTCTGGAGGTGCGTCTGCTATTTAGGTGTCAAATCAGCCTAGCCAGGGGTTCCCCTGAACATGGGAGGGGTGGGGGGGAAGGAGAGAGGGGTTCTGGGCCCCGAGTGCCTCCTAAACTTATGCACACCCAGGGTCCAGAACGCCTGGCACGCAGCAGGCACTGGGCACATAATCGCTTCCTTTCCCTTCTCTCCCAGCGTCAGTCCTCCTGGGGACCTTTAGCTCCTCCTGACTGTTCAGTCCGCCCCCTACCCTGCCTCTGCTACCTCTCTGGTTTCCTGAGGATTAGGCCTCCTCACTCTCCCCTTAACCTTCCAGGTCTCGTTGGAGAAACTGAGGTTCACGCCTGCTCAGTCTGCACACTGAGACATGAAAGAGGCCCATTCCTTCCTCATCCTGGACTCCCAGCTGTTTCCAAACCACCCCCTCTTCTCAGCTCTGCCTTCTTCCTCTTTTTGTCCTTTTTTTAAGGACTTGACAAAACGCCCTTCCAGCGCCACCATCGTTTTCCCCAGCTCCCGACTCGGGGGGTTAGCAGTTAGCTTTCTTCTGCTTCCCTCTCCCACAGAGAGCGAATGGTACGGCCTTCCAGCCCTTACCTTGTTTATGGCATCCCAGTTAATGAAACCCAGCTTGGATTTAAAATTCTGCAGAGATTAAAAAAAAAAAAAAGATGGAAAATGGCAAATTGAGTTGTAATGTAATGTTGGCTCAGGGCTTCCGGGCAAGAGGTCAAGGGCCATCACTGATGTTCAGTCCTTCTGGAAAGAGGACTTCAGCCTAAAGGGCAGAGGGCCAGAGCTTTGCTATTCCAAAGAGTGAGCAGAGAGATCTTGCCTGAACTCACCTTCCAGACAGTGTCAAAGTTGAAGAGCCCAGGAGACGTCTGAGAGTTCTAAGGAACCAAAGAGAAAGGGGATGAGAGTAGGAACTCACCCTGTGAGCAAAAGGCAGGGGCAGAAGCTCTGGGGGTCAGGAGGGGAGGCAGGGATTGCTTGACACCATGGCCCCGGCCAAAGGTGGGGTGATGCCTCCAATCACCAAGGTATTGATCCCACTGACAGAGTCACCTCTTCCACTGGACCCTTGCCACTGGGCAGGAAGGGGGGACTACTGTTCAAGCCCTGTGCCTCCTGTCATGCATGCCACCTATCAGCCTGCTCCTGGCCCACCATCTCTGCCTTTGCTCAAGCTCTGTGTACTCTGTGTAAAGCTACCTCCTCTCCTTTTTCACACAGCAGCTAGGAAACCCCACCTTCTTGGAATGATTTGCCACCTTCTTGGAATGATTTGCCCCTTATTCCTAGAATAACCCTGCCCAGTCCCTTGAATCATATTCCTATTCTGCCTCCCCCAGAGCCTGTCCCCAAAATGCTGCTGGGAGCTAATGTGTAATCAGCCCCACCATGCACCTAGCACAGTGCCTTATCCGGCCACATTTCCTGTGTCTCCACAGGAGACATCTCCACTTGACAGATGAGGGAAGAAAACTCAGAGCTGTCCAGCAGCATGCCTCACGATCTGGCTCCTTGTCAGACCCCAGTGTCCAGATCCTGAGCCACCTTGCTCTGGTTATGGTGCAGAAAGCTCTGCAGTAACTGTGGGGTTAAGCAAGGTAGGTTTTGCCGTTCCCATTTTACCCAAGAGGAGGCCCAGGCTCAGGTCAACTGCCCTGCCTGAAGATGCACAGATGACAGGTGAGACAGCTGTCCTCTGAACCCCCATCTTCTAACTCAGAGGTCACTGCTTTCCACTTCTCAACACTTCTTAAGTATGGTTTCCAAAAATAGCCCCTTGACCATTCTCCTGTTAGTTTTGGCTATGTTTCCCCTCGCAGTGATAATACACAGTGATGATCACAGTTTGAAGAAGGGAGAGAATGGATGAACCAAGGAGACAGGGATTCCAGACCCCTGTCTGGTCTCCTGGTGGTCACTCACCACAGAGAGCAGCTTGCAAGAAGATACTGATGTTTCTGTTTCTTTTCCCCGTCCCTTAGCGTTCTGTCCCCACACTCTACCACCCCTTCTCCTAAAGCCATCCCTGCTCACCTGATAATTGTCTTGGGGGCCCCCAACCAGGCGACTGCCCTCTTTGCTTATTTCCTGCGGAGAGAGAAAATGGAGAAGAGTCGCTGAGATAGCAGGTAACATGCAGGATGAGAGGGTAGGCAAGCAGGATGTGGGCCAGGGACTCCTGAATCGGGGGACTGAGGCACGAACATAGCAGAAGATTTCCCAGAGCCCCGAGAGAGGCTCTTCTCCCTGGAAAATCTTCTTTCAACTTCCTGTGGATTGGGTTATTGCTCACTTACAATACTTATTGGCAACATAACCATCTCTTTATATTCACTTCTGCAAACTGCCCAAAATCCAACAGGAAGGGCCTTTGCCACAAAAGTATCTGAATTGTCCCCTGATTTTGAGGCAGAAGCCAGCCAGACTGTTGGAGTAAACTGATTCAGACTGCGGGACACAGTCTGGGCGGATGTGTTGAATTGGTCAGAAAGGGGATGCTGGCTGGAGAGTCAGCAGGAGACTAAGTGGCAGAGAAGTCACCTGGTTCCTCTCCTCCTAAGTTAGAGGGCGGTGCCTCTTGAGTCCCACTTTCCTGGGACTGAGATGAATTCCCCGAGGTAAGATCAAGACCAGCCTGCGGTGCGGGACTATCTGCACTGTTAGCATTGCTACTGCAAAGTTGACCTCCATCCCATCTCCCGCCACCAGTCTCTACTCTCAAGGCTGGCCATCTCCTTACCCTGATGTCACCATAGCCGCCGGAGCCTCCCTGTCCTTCTCCAGAGCCCTGAGGGATGAGACAGTGCAACAGAGATCATTGTTTTAGATCTTAGGTCCATCCCTACACCTTTATGTACTGATTTAATACAGTTCCTCTAAAAATCCTCATGGAATTCTCTTTCAGAACTGGTCAAAATAATCTTGGAATTCATCTGGATGAATAAATGTTTAAGAATAGGTGAGAGGGGCGCCTGGACGGCTCAGACGTTAGGCGTCTGCCTTCGGCTCAGGTCATGATCCCGGGGTCCTGGGTTTGAGCCCCGCATCGGGCTGCCTGCTCGGCGGGAAGCCTGCTTCTCCCTCTCCCACTCCCCCTGCTTGTGTTCCCTCTCTCGCTGTGTCTCTCTCTGTCAAATAAATAAAATCTTAAAAAAAGAAAAAAAGAATAGGTGAGAAAACACTGGAAAAGACAGGCAACAAAGGAGGACTTGTACTGGCAGATATTAATGTACCATAAAGAAAGCAGCGTCACAGGACAGATGAGTCAGTTTAACTAAATAGAACTCCCAGAAGCTTTCCCAAAATATGAAGGTATTTACAAGTGACATTGTACATCAGTGGTGTAAATAATTCAATGCGTGTGGCTGGGAACACCAGTTAAATATCTGGGGGGGTGCAGGGGGCACTTAGTTATACCTTGCTGGTCCCCCCTTCTGTTTTTATCTGGTTTTCCCTTCGAGAGCACATAGCTCTGATCCAAAGTGTGGGGCAAGTCTAGCCGAACTGAGGAATGGGACTAGACTGTATACAGCAAAGTAAAGCCCAGATAGATTAAAGAGTTAAATAGAAAAATGAAAGTATAGATGTATTAGTAGTTCCAGAAGAAAATTGAGGCCTTTTTCTTTTCAAGAGCAGAAACCGTAGAAGAAGAGGCTGGTATATTTGACTACATATTTAAGACTTTGATACACAAAACACTAGAAAAGAGTTACAAGCTGGGAGCTTTCCTAACACCTGTCTACCCACAGAGGTTAGTATCCTTAATATCCAAGGAGCCTAATATTCAGGGAGCCTTCTCCCCATCGGCTGCGCTCACACCAGCGGACATCGGCCTTGCCCGAACCTGGTAGAAACCAAAATCTCAGCCCCACCCCAGGCCTGCTGACTCAGAAGCTGCATTTTCACAAGACCTCTAGGTGATTCGTGGGGACCTTAGCATAACACGTCCTCTTGTCAGTGCTGCAGGTGCTGACAGGAAGCCCAGATTTCCAGAATGACTAGGAGGGAAGGGTACCCATTCCAAACCCAGTTTCCAAATGCTATCAAAGAGGTCACGGTATTCTGTTCACTGGCCGGCTGGGTGTAGGTCGTTTGAAGTGATTATGTTTCTAAAAAGGACTGGTTTCTCTGTAATTTTTCACAGCCCCATCCACGGTATAAAGTGAGGCACATCACATAAGGATTTGCAATTATTACTTTGGAGATTGTTAATATTTGTAGGAGTATGCATTTGGTTTCTTCCCCACAGACGGGGCTCGGATGGAGGTTAGCCTTAGGAGTGGCACCAAGCAGGAGTGGGCACAATCCCAAGTTTGGCTCTCACCTGACCCCCAGATCCTCCGGATATGCGGACTTCATTCCCTGGGCTGTCACACTGTGAGAGAGACGGAGACAGTTTTCCCTCTGTTGCCACCGAGACACCAATCCCAGCCCCCACACTGCTAGCCTGCAGCCGCCCCACCTCAGCCCATTCTCCGCTCTGGCCGGTGCTCTCCCAGCTCTCCCATCATCCGAGGGGCCTTAGCACCTCTTCTTTCCCCTCCCCTTCAGAGAAAGGAGGCCGATCTGTGCGGGTGTGCCCTCAGTGGACCCTCACCCCGGGTTTATTTCCGCCGCCACTTCCGCCGCCATTTCCGCCTCCACTGCTACCCAAGGAAGAGCCACCATTGCTATCCCAGGAAGAGCCGGTATTGTGTCCCTAGGAGGGGAAGCAAGAGTCCACACAGCAACTTTTTTTATTATTATTAAAGATTTTATTTATTTATTTAACGGGGAGAGAGCACAAGTAGGCAGAGAGGCAGGCAGAGGGAGAGGGAGAAGCAGGCTTTCCGCTGAGCAGGGAGCCAGACATGGGGCTCGATCCCAGGACCCCAGGATCATGACCTGAGCCGAAGGCAGCCGCTTAACCGACTGAGCCACCCAGGCGCCCCTCCACACAGCGTCTTAAAGGGACTCAGCGGGAACCAGATAGTTGCCAGGGTGTTATGATTTGTTTACTCCCTTCTGCCCAACCTCCATCTCTTCCCATCTTGAGCCAGCCGGCCCCTGAGGCAGTTATTCGGAGCACAAGGGACAGGTGTGGCCAAGTGTATTTGGAAATGTGGGACAGTTTGGGGATTCTGAGCTGCTGTCCTCTCCCCACTATCACATGCCTGAAGTGAAAAGGCCTCTGGAGCCTAACGTCTTAGAGCCTTGACGCTGGTACCCAGGGGCTCATTCGGTCCGCCCCCTGCCTCTCCTCACCCCTCCCTCTCCTGGAACCTAGAAAGAGCAAGAAGGGACCCGGAGAGTCCTTACCTCGGAGCCTGAATAGCTGCTTTGATCAAAATTCCTAGATTTTTCAAAGGGACGGTCCTAGATTGGGAGGGAAAGCGGGTAGCACGAGGAACAGTAAATTAAAGCAGCTTATGTGACCTGGCTTGTTCTCGTTACTTCCCTCTTCTTGCCGCAGACCTTTCCCAGATACCCAAGGAAGCCAACTGTGCTGCCGCTTTGTGGGGCCCCCTCTGTGGGAGAGCCACGCTCAGTGGCTGCCCGGCCATGGTCTCCTCCCGGACCCCTCATGTGCCCTGTATTTATCGGCGTCACCTAAACCACAGTGCTGTACGTGTCCTGGTCTCTGCGTGTGCGCGACACGCTTGCCCCCGGTCTCTTGGGAGCTTCCCAGGCCGATGCCCGGTTTCCTGTGTCCACCTGTCTTCTCCCCTCTGCCAGCGCCCTCTCTAGTCAGATCTGCCCCGCGGCCGCAGGAATCAGTTAGCCGGGAGGCAGAGCGTCCCCACCCACGCGCAGCTGAGCGGAAGGGAGCTAATGGGCGGGCGCAGGCCAGGCACCTGTGCGGAGGCGTCGCCCGGCTGTGTCAGGAACCCTGCCTGGCGGGGCCGGGCAGGTGGGGGACAGGAGCTGAGGAGCCCCAGGATGGCGAGCAGAGGAGCAGAACTCACCCAGCTGGGCCCGTAACTGCTGCCACCACCTCCGCTGGCACCTCCGCCGCTGCCTCCCTAAGGGGCAGGAAGAGACAGAGTGAGAACATCAGGAGTGTTGGCTTCCCTCCCTCGCCTCCCTCTCTGGCTCCAGCATATTTCCCGTGCGCAGTGGAGGGAGCCGGCATTCTGTCTACTCCCTGCGCAAAATGCCTCTGATGGCCTGTCCCCTTACCCCTGAGCTGCTGGAGCTGCCGCCTGAGCCGGATGGCGGGGGGTTGGTGCACTGCGGAGGAAAGTTTCCAGGGATGGGTGAGTTTCCAGACTTGGGTCAAAGCCATCGCCCACAGGCCAGGCTCTCCTGCTTCCTGTGGCTTGGCCTTCTTTCCCCACGTGCCCGTGCCCCTTCCCTCCCCTTTTCCTGGCCCACCTCTTCCCTGTCAGTCTGCCTTGTACCTCAACCCCCATCCTTCTTTCTTTCCTCTTCATCTCTCCTACTTTCTGTCACATGCACCTGGACACCCTCTTCTTCCTGACTCTTCCCCTTACCTCTATGTGTGAGTTGCTGCCTCTCAAGGAGCCGTAACCGGGTTGGACCATAGTCCCCTGCAGAGGGGGGTACAGACAGAAAGATGAGGGAGGTGTGGAGATCATGGGCTTGAAGGGCAGGAGGTTGTAAGCCTCAGGGCTGGGGTGGTTACTGTACCTGAGCGTTGGTGCCCAAGCCGAAAGACCCTCCATTGCTTCCTTGGCCCCATGGGCCTCCCTGAGAGTGGGCTCCAAAGCTTCCATCTGAACCTCGGGGGTATCCCTGGCCCCAGGGAGTCCCTGGCCCTCCAGGATTGCCCTGGCTGTGGCCTCCAGAGCCACCCTGGGAGCCAAAGATGCCATGGCCTCCAGATGGAGGCTGGCCGTTGGTTCCCTGCAAGAGCAACACACCTGCACTGAGTGTGTGTGCCTTACCCCCTCTCTGATGGGGGGGGGCAGCACAGCAGGACATAGGCAGAGGCAGGTAGAGGGAGACCCCAGCGTGGTAGAAGAAGGATGCATCATCACATGGAGGGAAGCCACCCCAGATAGCCACAAATAAGAGACCCAGTCATCCTTCCAACTGATTCCCAAGATTCTCAACCCAACTGCCCACAGCGTCCCATTTCCACACCCAGCTGCCAGCTACTCACCCGAGCACCGCTGCTGCCAGGCATCCCCTGCCAGGAGCTGTGGACAGCATCCCCTCCATGTCGAATGATGTTCTCAACCTGTCTGCCAGCCTCACCTGCAGTGTTTCCAAGGGCATGGGCTGCTTCCCCCAGGCTGTGGCCCATGACCTCCCTGGTTGCGGAGCCGGCTGCCTCTCCAGCCCCTTGGCCAACAGCCTCTTCGACTCCATGGCTAATGGCATCTCCCACCCCCTGTCCCACGGCCTCCCCAGCACCTGCTCCAGCGCTCTCCCCTCCTCTCAGCAGTGGGCCAGCCTCCCCACTGCCCAGGCACAGGGCCAGCAGGAGGCAGGCCAGGGAGCCCTGTGACTTCATCTCTGCCTCACTCCTCTCCCTCCCGTCTTCTTCCCACCTGAGTTTTCTTCTCTTTGCCCTTCCTCCCCCTCCGTGTGTCTGTGTGTGCCCTCCTCTATGCTCTTCCTCCTGACTTACTCTCCTGTCCCCCTAAGTCCGCAGGCTTCTCTCTCCTTTCCCAGATTCCCCTGCCTTCCCAGAGTCTCCTCCCTGCCACTACTCCTTATACCGTGGCCTGGGAGAAGGTGACAGGGCTGGGTAGCCCAGAGTCCCTCCCTCGTGACTCAGGGCCAGCCACCGATAGGGTAATGAGCTGTAATTGTGAGTCTGAGAGTCTGTGTTGAAACAGAGAGGGAGCCCAAGCATCAGGGAGGGAGGACGAAATGGGATGAGGCAGGTGCAAAAGTGTTCCGATTTCCTAACCCCAGGAATTTGGGGCGCAGGGTGGGGATGGGGACATCTGAGGAGATAGTTGGTTGGCGTCTCCTAGAGGTGATGGGGTGGAGGGTCTCAGGAGAAAGGAACCACAGGCGGGACCCAACCAGGAGGGAAACGTAGGGAGCCCAGTGGGGCGGGACCCACCCGAGGGGTAAGCCAGCCTGGCTCAGGGGCACTGGGATGAAAGGCAGCTGCCCTTTCTTGGCCTTGCCCTCTCAGTTTTGGTGGCCTTTTTCTCTCCCATCTCTCTTCCCCTCCCATACTGCCACCTAAAGGTGACTGTCCTCACACTCTTCCATACCTTCCAGCCCACAGAGTCTGGCAGCTGTGAGACTGCCCTCCGTGGGGACCCCAGGTACCAAGGAAGGAAGTGGCCAGCCTGAGAGGGGTCATCAGGGCGTCTCAGCACTGGGGCTGCTCTTGGCAGAGAAAGCTGGGTGCGGAGCAAGGAACTGGGCGGGCCAGCCACCCCCAGGGGATGAGTGGGAGGGAGCAGCTGACCCAGGCACCCATCCTGTTTACCTGGCCCACAGGGGCACGTGTGTGAGCTCAGAGCCTCCTGAGAGGACTGGTGCTGCTGCTCGCCCCACCCACCCCCCAGTCTCCCCAGGGCCTGGCGGCACCAGCAGGGGAGGAGGGGTCAGCGTGAGCCCCCCACCCCACCCCCTTCCAGGGCCCTAGGTCAGCAGCATGGCCCTCTCCTCGTCCCAGCTCAGGACACAGGACTCAGGCATCTTCCCCATCTCACCCCTGTCCAGCACCAGGCTGCTTCTCTGCTCCCAGGGCCCCTGGGCCTCCCACTTGTCGCCGGCCTTGTATCACTGGAACTCATCACCAAGTTAGGAGGGGCTGGTTTCCATCTGCCTTTCCCAATGTCTCTCAGTCAGTCTCTCCACCCCAGCACCCGCACCCCAACTTGTAACATCCAACACCTCTCACCGTGTAAACACAACCCCTGTCTGTCCTGGGCACCTCCTACCTCCCTGTTATTCCACCTCTCTTTAATGACAGTGATAATGGTGGTAGTGGTAACCATCATCGTAATTGTCAATGCAGCTCCAGTCTATCCACAGCTCTGTGTGCCCAGCGCCGGACTAAGCGCTTTAAGGCTCACACAGCCCTGGCAGATAGACTTAGTATCACCCCATTTAGAGACAGACAATCGGGGGCTCAGAGGGGAATGGAGGTGTATGGTAGAGCCAAAGCCAAGCCCAGGCCTGCTCCACTTCTAAACCCTGCTCCCAGCACGTTCTTTCGTCATCTGTCTCTGACCTCCCCCTGCTTGTCAAAACCTTCACTCTTCTCTGGATGGAATTGGTGGTGGCTTTGCCCTGGGGCCTTATGGAGGGCAGGGGCCGGAGGCAGGAGTAAATCTGAGGCCTCCGGATTGCTGATGGACACCTCGGCCCCTGAGCCGGCTGCTTCCGCGTCCAAGGGCAGGACCATGGGGCTGGAGGTAGAGCGCTCCCTGCCTCAGAGACTCATTCCCACACTTCCCTCATGGGATACCACCTTCACCGTGGTATGTATCTGCCCCCTGACCCAGCTCTGTTACTAGTATTTTTCTTTAAGCCAGCTTACTTTCTTAAGCATATTTTATGTCGCTACTGTAAGTGGAGAGCCAGGATCACTTGCCCATAAAGAGAAAGTACCAGAAAACACAGAAGGAGATTGGCAAGTATGAGGGAAGTATTCAAGGCACAGGAGCACAGAAGTTGAGTCTTCTTCTCTAACATAATCAGAAAGTTTCAGAGAAAATTGAGAAAAGGGCACAGCTCTCACTGTGTGATTCAGACTTATTCAAAGCCATGTTCCTGAACCAGCTGGATTCTCCCATGCACTCCCATGCTCTGCCTTCTGGAGAAAACTACCCTCAGGCATCTCTGGACCTGAGAGGTCACCTCACGTGATCTGCAGGCATATTTATGAAATACCTGTTGTGAACCAAATAGAAGGCTAAGTGCTTCCACATGCATGATCTCATTTAATCCTTACGACAACCTCGGGGCGGGGGGGGGGTGGCGGGTAGACATTCCCATTTTACAGGTGAGGTAACTGAGGCCCAGGGCTGGTAAACACATACATAATAGCGTATTTAAAAGAGATGGTGGTAAAATGGTGCTGTCCGAATATGACCCAGGTCTGTCTAACTCCAAACAGCTTTTTCTCCTACATCCATGCCTCTTTTGTTCTTGTACCTAATGGCGTCCACAAATCTGAACTGCCTGACCTCATGTCCTCTGATTTCAGCTTTTCTAAATCACTATTTCATTCATTCTGTAAGTATTTATTGAGTACCTACTGTGTGTCACACCTGTTCTAGGCACGGGGATACAGTGTAGAAGAAGATCATCTAAATCTCTCCTTAGGGAGCTCACATTCATTGTGAGGAGGTTGGACAATAAACGTATCAGGTGGTGAGCACTAATGAAGAAAAATACAGGGAGGTGAGGGACTAGAGAAGACAGAGTATTTTAAATCGGGTAACCGGAAAGGCTCTTCAAGATGTGACCTATGAACTGACACCCAAAGGAAGTGAGAGAGTGAGCCATGAGGATGTCTGGGGATAGGGTATCCCAAGCGGAGGGACAGCAGTGCAAAGGCCCTGGGGCAGGAACCTACTTACTCTATTTGAGGACCATTGTGACTGGAGCAGGGGGGGGAATGGGAAGAGTTGAAGTCAAAGTCAAAGAGAAACTGGCCCAGACAGGGGGACTTGGGGCCATTGTGAGGATTCTGATTCTTATTCTGAATGAAGTAGAACCAGGGGAAGGTTTTGACTGAGGCGGGCTATGGTCTGACTCAGTGTTAACAGGGTCCCTCTGAGGAACAGGCTGGGGGGCAAGGGGCAGGAGGTGGGTACAGAGACCAGGGAGGAGGCTTCAGGGTCGGGGGGGGACAGAGGCTGGACTCAAGCAGAGAGAGGAGATGGGGCTTTGGATCTGGGTGATGTCTCTGCTCCCCTCGGTGGTGTCCCGAGCCTCCAGCTGGCATCTGCTGATCCACCTGTGCGCAGTACCTATCCTGCCGCCGAGCTTCAAATCCTGACTCCTCCCCTTACTATCTGTGATCTTAACCCACCTGTGCAGCGGTTTCCTTGTCTATCAGAGGCAGGAATGCAAGGGTGAAGTGAGGGAATCCTGGCAGGGTGCTCAGAACAATGCCTGGCCCGCTCCTGTGCACTCACTATGTGTTCTTGCTAGTGGTGGGCACGTTGATGTTGGAGTATTTTCTTGGCAGTTTAATTGCGAGACACATACACAGGCACGCACGCACCTCCTGAAGGCAGAAACTTAATTTTAAAGAGGACTTATTTTGAAGTAGCTCCCTCCCCCTCCCCGAGGGTCCCAGGGAGGCCGGCCACCTCGGCCACCAGCAGAGACCAGCAGCTGGGAAGTGCTCGTGACTAGGAGGAGCCGGGCCATCACCACTCACTAGCTGGGCGGCCTCAGTCTGGGAGGGGGACCATCATGGTGCCTGGCTCACGGGGAGCTCGAGAGGATGGAATGAACCTGTCTGTAAGTGCTCAGCACAGACGTAGTCAGCACCCAATAAAAGAGAGCCTCCCCTCTGTTAGCTGCCAGCCATCTGTGCCTGGCCTCGGCCTCTCCTCTGGAACATGTTAGTCTACGGGGAAAATGGACATTAAATGAGTAAATATATAATTACACATTGTCATAAGCACTGTGAAGAAAAAGATCAGTGTGCCAGGCCAGAGAATAGAAAGGTGGCCCTTTGTTTGGGTGGTGTGGTCAAGACAGCCGACACCTGCAGGGTAAGGACGCACAGGCACAGGGGAAGGAGGGACACGGAGAATATTCCTGGCGGACGGAGGTGCACACCGGACCCCGAGACAGAAGTGAGCCAGGCCTCGTTTACCCTTGAAAACCGGCTAAGTTCTTTTCCAGAAGCCTCCCAAGATTGACACCCCACACACACACACACACATAGGATTATCCCATATCACTTTGACACTTTCAGTTCCCCCATCCAAGTAAACCCAGCAACAAAATGTGCGTACAAATAAAATCAGTGAAAGCTTTTACTTCAGGAAAGAGAGATTCCCTAGAATATGCCCTTTCCAGAAGGGACGACTCCAGTTTGTATGAAATGAGCTCCAGCACAGAGTAGACCCTCAATAAATGCGTGATGTGAATGAATGCTTCTTGTTTATTAAAATGCGGGAAATGGACAATTGCCATTTAATGTATCGATGCGTGGCTAAATGGGTAGATATGTGACAGATGGACGTGTGATCAAGCAAGGAGAGTAAACTGTTAATGGTAGACCGTAAGGGGTGGCTACACAGGTATTCACTATAAAACTCATCTTTATGGTGCGTTTGAAATATTTTCAAATTAAAATATCGTAGGGGAAGGGAAGGACCATAGGTCATAAAAATGATGGTATTCTACAAATCAGGAAAAATGCAGTGAACATGAAGTCTCGGGAGCGTCACCTTTATTGTACACATGCAGCCCCCACCCCCACCCCTCCTGGTGGCATCTGGTTCTTATCGATGCATTGCTTCATATTTGTTTTCATGTTCTGTTTATGCACCTTGTATCCCCCGGGAAGCCTGTAAATTCCCCAAGGGCAATTTTTGGCCTCTTATTTTTGGTCCCACAATTGATGAAATTTTGGTGTTGGAAGCTGTGTTTGTAGTCCTCCCCTGCAGACAACCCCCCCAAGACACACACGCACACAAGCACACACATATACAGAAGGGAACTGTGGCCCCCAGAAGGGAAGGAAGCTGCCCACAGGTACATGGTCCTACTAGGAATGCACATCTCCCGGCACAGAGACTGGTGCTTGGCAAGCCTTCTAGAGACTTTCTAGGCAACTGTGAAAGGTCAGGTTCTGGCAGTGGACAGCCAGGGCCCTGGGCCCTCTGAGCCTCCATTTTCCTCATCCATACAATGGGGATCACAAAAGGGCTCCTGCCTTTGGGTTATGAGAGGCTTAAATGGTTTCAGCTCTTCACACAGTACTGGAAGCTAGCTAGTGCTTAGTGAATAGTCGCTGCTGTCATGCATCTGAAAACCGGGCCTTCTGTGTCCCCATTCCTGTCCGTCATAAAGAGGCCCACCCTCCTGTCACCTGGGTGCTTTCCCCCTGGGCCTTTGGTGCTCCTCCCCATGCAAACACCTCCCACACGTATCTCTTCCTTTCCTGTCTGCACCATTCCCCACTGCTTGATGCCAAAAGGGAAAGACCGTATTTTCAGAATATGCTTTGTCGCTCAAAGTCCTTTCCCCTCCACTTCCTGACTATGTGACCTTGGTCATGTTTCTTAACCTGTGGGAGCCTCCGTGTGCTTCTCTGTAACAGAACCTCTTACCTAAGGGGGTGGGGGGGAGGATTCAGTGATGTCATGCGTGGAAAGCACTCAGCAGGGAGCCCAGCATTGCACAACAATTACAAGTTACCATTGTTATTCCTTTGGTGCCACACCCCCCAAACCAGGATGCTACCCCCTTGGGCTCCACCTAGGTTCCCGCCATTCTCTTTGGCGGTGCTTCTGCCCCCACTCTGGCCTGAAGTGGCCTTCTCTGCACAGATGCTCCCCTTAGTACCAAGCACGCACGGGTTTTGCCCACTAGCGAAGCCTGGCTTGTCCCCGTGAGCGCCCTCTTACATCTGACCTGCCTGAAATCTCCAGCCCAGCCCTCCTGTGCATCAGCCCCCAGCTCCTTCCACAGAATAGCAAGGAAAGAGAAGCCTCCCCCCACCCACCCCTCCTCGGGGAGCACAGTGGACCATGATGAGAGTATAACGTGTCATATTTATTCACAAACCCCAGTACAGCCCCCTCCCGGGACTCAGGAAATCTGCCCCCCGCCCCCAGCTCCTCCGGGTCATTTCAGCTAGTATGACAACAGGAATGTCAGTCTGCTGAGTGAGGCCAGTGCATCAGTTTAGGGAATGATGTTGGCGACGCTCTGGAAGAGAGGAGAGAGGAAATGAATGCAGGGAAAACAGCCCTGAGGGGACCAAGACCTCTGCCCTCACGTCCCCTAGGGAAATGAGGGGGGACATGGCCATTAGCTTCTCAGGCCTAGGGGTTGCCTATGTTCTGCGGAATGTCTTCAGCAAAGTGGCTCCTAGATTCAGGAAGAACAGGGAGCCAGCCCTCCCAGGGAGAGGTGCCAGGGCCCTGTGGAGGAGCCCAGAAGCCTTGTCTGTTTTGCCTCAGAGGGTCCCCTGGCACCCCCATAGCCCAGGAATAAACAAGGCTGTGCCTCTGGGTTCCGGGCACGGTCCACAAGGGCTGTTCCACACCCTCCCCCTTTTGCCCCAGGCTCATGCAGCCATGCGCTACATGCAAAGAGAAAACTGCAAAGCTAGGATTTTGCTCTGCGCCCAGGGTAGGGACCAGGGTCCCCCAGGAGGCTTTCTACTGGGGAGTCCCGACAGCCAGGGAAAGCCCAGAGCTGCAGGTTCCCACCCCCCAGCATACTGCTATAAGGCAGCAGAGGGCCTCACAGTGGGTTGAGGCAGGGAGGGAATCGGAAGCCGATGAGAAGCTGAGCACACGGACCGGATGATTTAAGCAGCGCGCCTCCCTCGCTGGCCTCTGGGGGTCTGTTTTGCCAGCTTGCGTTTGACTCAGCAGGAATGGAAAGCAGCCGGAAGAGGAAAGCAGGGTGTGAGGGGCAAAGAGCAGGTGAAGAAAGGGAAGGCCAGAGCTGGGAAACAGGTTGGATGGTGTCTGCAAGGCTGAGTGTGTGTCCACAGTGAAGCTGTCCGTGGACAGGCAGTGGGAAGGGAACGCGAGACTCTCTCCAGAGACAGCAGAAAGTTGAAACCTCCGGGCACTCACCTTCCACAGAGCTGGAATGTTGATGAAGGGCTTGTTGACCGAGGCCTAGAATTCAAGGGCAAGAGGGTTGGTCCCCAGAATCCAACCCAACACCATCGTAGAAGGGCCTTCCCTCCCCCTACTGAGTCCTTGCTGTGCCCCCGGGGAACTTACTCCAGATGCTACTGTTGTGGTTGCGCCCCCTCCGTGCTGGCCGGTGGAAACGCCTGGGTGAGTGCCCTGCGGACGAAGCCCAGACTGTCATTACAACCCCTCAGCCCTTGAGGATCTCGCAGGTTCCTCTTCCCCGGTGACCTGCCGCTCTCTAGGGTGACTGGGGCTGGGGTGGGAGGCAGAAGCTAACCCCCTACCCCCTCATTATCCAGAAAGAAAACCCAAAGCCCATGTCGCTGTGGGAATTCTGTGAGACGGGAAGAAAAGCCTGGAAGGATGTCTGCCCCTCCTGACTAGTCTTCCCCCAATTCCCTTTTATTTCAGTGAATGAAATGCCCTCAGTCGCTGAGAAGGGCCTGAATGGAAACTGGAAAGGGAACCCGGAGGACCCACGCAAATCCTAGAACCATAGTTTAACCTCAGCCCCGACCTCGGCTCTACCCCTTCTATACCCCCCCTGGCCTGGTCCCTGACTTCGGTTGATCCCTGACCTCATTTTCCCCTCAGATACTCATCTGTGCCTTTGCCGCTGCTAGGGCCAGCTTGGAATCCCATAACAAAGCTCCCCTTCCTGACTCCTTCCCAGTGAAGCCTGCCGTCTGACTCAGAGCCCATTCCTCTGCCGTGCACACTTCCTGTGGAGTCCCTTCCTCCTCACCCACCCATCCCTGGGTCCCCTGCCTGTGGCCTGTGTGGCTATCGGCTTCCAGGTCTGGGCCAGTCCTCCAGATGGTGTCCCAAAGACTCCTCATGGAGATTGGAGAGTGGGGAACTGAGGCAGGCAGGGGTCAGGCTTCTGGCCCACTGTGAATGGCACCCCTTGCCTCCCCCTGGCCTCCAGTATTTGTTGCCTCTACAGAAATATTTTCTCTACAGAAATCCTCCTGGAGACCTCCCCTGATGGAGCAGTGTGGCGGGAAGACAAAGAACCCTGACCCGTGATTGGCCAGACCTGCTCGCTAGCCACCTGACCTTGGCAAATCCCCTTAAAACCTCACTTCTATCGCCTTATCTGAGAATCAGGGAGTCAACATCCTCACCCTGACTACCTCAGAGGCTTGTTATGAAAATTAAACAGAATAGGGCTTATCTCCCAAAGCCATTCCTCATGCTTACTCTGATGCTCTGGGTTTTCTCAACACTCGCTCTGTTTGCGCTGCACAAGATCTTGACTCAGTAATCATTTCCTGTTCCCCAGGAGAGGCTTCACGTTCCCCTCTTTACACCTCCTCAACTAGGAGGGGCAGCTCCCTGAAGTGCGAAGGTTCTCACTGTCTGACCTAGGGCTTTGCGGACAAGATGGTGTGATCCATCTGACCAGCTGAGCACCAGCTCCTTTGTAAGGAGATGGAGAGGAAGAAAGGGAACGTGATCATAGAGCTCCCCAAGCTTCTTTCACTGAATGAAGGCTACATGGACTACCCAAATGTCCCAAGGGCTTAACCTCTCCCTCCCCCAGCCCCTTCTCCCCATTTCCCCACCCCTGTTCACCTACATTCAGCAGCTGGTTGGCCTCCTTGCCGGCTTGGTTGACCCCATTATGAACATTCTGCTGCAACCTGTCCACCTCCTTCCCGGCCTGGCCAGCAGCATGGTGGACACCTTGGCCAAGTTTCTCCGCTTCCTTTCCAGCCTGGCCAGCAGCGTGGTTGACCCCTTGGCCAAATTTCTCTGCCTCCTTCCCGGCCTGGTTGACCCCATCCTGGACCCCTTGGACCACTTTGTCTGCCTCCTTTCCGGCCTGTTCAACGGCATGGTGAACTCCCTGGCCAAAGTGCTCCACCTCCTTCCCAGCCTGGTTGACCCCAGGATGGATCCCTTGGACTATTTTGTCTCCCTCTTCCCCAGCCTTCCCTGCAGCATAATGAACATCATGGCCAAACTTCTCTACCTCCTTCCCAGCCTGGTTAACTCCGTGGTGGACCCCTTGGACTATTTTGTCTCCCTCCTTCCCAGCCTGCCCAGCAGTGTGGTGGATCCCCTGGCCAAATTTCTCCACCTCCTTCCCAGCCTGGTTAACCCCATGATGGACCCCTTGGATTATTTTTTCTCCCTCTTTCCCAACCTGCCCACCGGCATGGTGGATCCCCTGGCCAAACTTCTCCGCCTCCTTCCCAGCCTGGTTAACCCCGTGATGGATCCCCTGACCAAACTTCTCCGCCTCCTTCCCAGCCTGGTTAACCCCATGATGGACCCCCTGGCCAAACTTCTCTGCTTCGTTCCCAACCTGCCCCGCAGCATGGTGGACCCCCTGGCCAAACCTCCCTGCCTCACTTCCCACCTGGTTGACCCCATGATGGACCCCCTGAATCACTTTGTCTGCCTCCTTCCCAACCTGTCCAGCAGCATTGTTGACCCCATGGGCAAACTTCTCTGCCTCCTTTCCTGCTTGTCCGGTGCCACTGTTGATCCCATGGGCTACCTTGTCCAAGCCGTTGTTGAGCCCCTGGACGCCTTTGTCCAGTTCCTTGCCGGCCTGGCTCCCCACGTGGCTAAGTCCATTAAAAACTTTTTCCACTTCCCTTCCAGCGTGAGTGATTCCATTATTGATGCCTTCCAGGGCCTTGCCCACCTCTCTCTCTGCATTGCTCAGCCCTCGGTTGATTCCTTCAATGACCTTCTCAATGGGGTCATCATTGGCCGCCCATCCAGGAAGGGCCCCCAATAGCAGTAGGAGGGAGCAGGAGCTGACCAAACTGGCAAGGTGCATGTTGTTGGCAGGGTGGGGAGGATGCAGAGAGGAGCCAGGGAAGCAAAGCTGCTATTTATACTCTACCTCCCTCTCTCTTCTCCACCCCTCATGACTCAGTTACCCCTGAGAGGCACTGACTTGGTCCCCAGTCAGGGAGGTATTTCTCAGGGAGCTTGAGTTAAGCAATGAAGAGGAGGAGGAAGAGAAGGTGAGTCATGAATGGAGAACACTCACGTGTCATCTTTGCTCCTTGCCCAGCTCAGGCCCTCCACCCCGAAGCCCAGATGTCTGCCCTTCCAACCACCCCCTCTTTTCATTCCTCACCCACTATCCAGGCCTCCTCTCTCCCAACCTCACCTTCAGTCACCCCCATCCCCAGGACCCAGGCCTAGTTCTTCACTCCTCTCAGGGGATCGAAGGATCCAGTTTCCCCAGCAGCAAAAGTCTAGGAAGATGGGAGGCTCAGTCAGGGGGGAGGAGAGCACTCTTGGGGAGTTGAGGGAGTCATCAGACCTTGCTGTCACTGTTCTCGTTGACACCCCCCTACGCTTACTACGTCCCAGCCCCACAGGTCTTCTCCCCGGTCCTCAGACACCCCGGGCTCATTCCCGCCTCATGGCCTTTGCACATGCTGCCCTCTCTGCCTGGAAAGCAGAACTCACATCTTCACATGGTGGGTTCTTTCTTATTCTGCTCTTGGTTCAAATGTCACCACAAAAAAAAAAAAAAAAAAAATCCCTGGCCGTCTCTCGGTTATCCTGGGTGATATCATCCTTTTGTTTTTATAAGCACTCACCACGATCCAAAATTATCTTTTATACTGTCTGCCTCACCTATCGGATTGTAAACTTCCAAAGGACAGGGCTTTTGTGTTGGCCACTGCTGTATCCCCAGTTTTTAGAACATTGCCTGGGGTTCAGTAAATATTTATAGATTGAACAAATGGATGGATTTAAAGAAGCACTCCAAAAAGGTATGGGATGTAAGTACACATAGTATGCTTGCTAAGGGAAGCCCAGGGAAGACAGGCCAAGCCTGGGTCTCAGAGGGTGCTGGAGAGAAGGGTGCCTGGGTCCCCAGAGCAGCCTGGGGCCCCTCGGGGAGGCTTATAGATTTTGGAGCCGGGACCTTGGCCTCCTGCTTCCCAGACCTTGGGCGAGGGCAGAGGACCGATTGCCATGAGCTGGGACAGGACGCAGTGTCTCCTGAAAAGCCGGTTGAGGCAGCCATGGGGAGGGGCTGAAGACCTGGGGCAGCAGGAGACTATCAGCCAGAACCTGGGCTGGAGGCCAGGGGCTCATCCTTCCTTCCCTCCTCCCCCTGGGGCCTCCTCGGTCCCAACCTAAAGCCCCAAGCGTTGACATGGTGGCATGGGTTGGAGGGGAACGGCTGGGAGTCTACCCTGGGCATGAAGAGGGTCATCAGAAGGAAGGACAGGTGGTGGCTGGGAGGTCTGTGGCAGCGTAGCTATCTGGGGCTAGAAGCAGGCCGAGACCAGAAGAACAAGAGCCAGTGGGTGGGTAAGTCGGGTGCAGGGGTGAAAGATATTTGGGTTTGGGTGCCAAAGGGAGAGACAGAGAGGGGGCGGAGGTGGGATTGCAGGTGGGAAGGAATGTGTAGGGTGTGAGCCGGCCGGGGGTGACAGAGGTATGTGTGTGGGTGCCCGGGTGTGGTGAGAATCTGCATGGGCTTTCAGGCTTTGCTCAAACGAGGGTGACCAGGCCCACTCCCGTCAGAGGACCCACGCTTCCACTCCAGGTCCTGGACACCCAGGCCCAGAGACCCAGGAGCTTCTGCCATTTCTAGGCACTGCCTATAGAGGGTGACTAATCATGCCACCTCTCCAAGCTTGAGCTCATTAAGTCTGTTTCCCAGTTTCACGCTCCAGGGACAAAGCCAAATCCCTGGGCAGCCTCAGGTGTGGCTCTCCTGCCCTTGTCCAGTGCCTAGATGAGGGAGTTTCCCATGCCAGGGGATTGCAGGGTGGGGAAGGGTGGGTGGTGACCTGCAGAGTCCTAATCCATCCTGAGATGGAGAGGTGGGGTTTCTCCTTTTGAAATGTACTCCCATCTTCTCTTTCCACCCCTCTCTCAGCCCATCCCGCCATCTTCTGTCAGCCCCGGTCCCTCTCGATCCAATTCCCATTTGCCACTGGTTGATTCAGGACTTTGGCATCTGTCCCCGTAAGAGATTGGCCTGGAGTTGTCCTTTCTTTGCCACCCTCCGCCGGTTTGGGTAATGTGAGCCTACTGCTTTTCCAGAGCGAGTGGAGGAGGTCTCTGTGGCCCAGCGTCGGGGCCCTCCCACAGAGCACTCCCAGGAAGTGTGCTGGCCAGCCTGCGGGGCCTCGGAGCACGTGCCCTGCCCAGAGCCCCTCCGCGCGAGGACTGCCACCCGGCTTCCCTGCTCTGGTTAGGATCCGCACCAGGTCCCGATGCTTTTTGACGGATCCTGCCCATAAAGTCATCTGGATCTGAATCAGCCTCGGGGAGCATAGATCTTAACTCCGGTTCTTCTCTTGTTATTGGCCTACTCACATTTGCCATTTCCGTTTGCACCAGGGTTGATCCTTTATATTTTCTAAGAAAATTTTTAATTGCATCTAGCTTTTCACATCTATTATTGTAAAGTTGTACAAAATTGACCCCTTTTCAGTCCTGGTTTTATTTGTGTGCTCTTCCACGCCCCGCCTCCTCCCAACCCCCATCATATGTATTAAGTTTGTCCCCCTTTGTTTAATTAATCCCTGCATTTTGGTCTTGGGCCATTGAAATGCTCCATCTGTACACGATGGTTTTTCAGTTCCACCTCTCCGGACCATCCAAGCAGGAGAGCCTCACCCTCGCCCTGTCCCACGGTGGGTGCTTGGCGAACTGAGTTCCCGCGAGGACTTAGGGAAGGAGGAGATTACGTCATTCCGCCCCTTCTTGCTTCCATACCACTGTCCGGGATGATGGCTCCTTCCTGGCCCAAACCGCCACACCCCCTAAAACTTGGTCACAACTGTGTGTCAGCCAGCCCTGCAGGTGAAGGCGCCTATCTGTGAATCACAGATGTGCAAACGAGCCTCCACCCCCCCCCCCCGCCCCCCCCCGTACATTAGAGGAAAGAGCCATCTGTCCTGTTCTTCCCCAGAAGCTGCTTTGTGCCAGGCACGGTTCTAGGCGGCGGCAGAGGCCCCGTGCTGAACAACGGGACACAATGAGCATGTAAATCAATAAGCAGATCATGACAAACTACATGAAAAGCCACAGGTGCAGTGAGAGGATCTGGCTTGGAGGTCACTTAAATTTAAGATTGGGAGTCGGAAGACATGGGAGGCAGCGATATTTATATACGCATTCTGGCGTCTGAGTGAGCACCCCCCGCAGGCGCCAAACCTTCTAGTCACTGGGATACAAAAGTGAAGGCAGACAAGCACTCTGTCCTCCGACAGCTTACAGTCTGGTGGGCAGAGACAACTGGCAAGAAAACGAATAAACAGGATGATTTTGAGACAGAGACATATGCTGTGAGGAAAACAAAAAATGTAGAGAGAGGGTAGCCATGGAGTAGCTTTGACATAGGAGCATCTAATCCAGGAAGGGAAGTCAGAGGAGGCTTCTGGAAGATGAGCAGATTGAGGGGTGAAGGCCACGGCGACAGTAATGGAGGAAGGAGAGAACTTTACGTGGGGAGTTAGGAGGGCCCCTCTTAAAAGGGTGGAACCGGAGGGAAACCGGGGGGGCCCGAGCAAGGACAGGGCAGGGCTTGCCAGGCAAGAGAAAACAGCCAGGGTAGCTAACTAGCCAGAGGAGGGTCAAGGAGCAGCCCAGAGCCAGAGAGAAGAAAGGGGAGGGGGAGAGAAAAGGGCCTTGAGGACCAGTGTAAAAAGCTGGATTCTGTGCTAGACGCCAGGGGTGGCCTGGGGTCGGTGGGGCTTGGCACGCGGACGTCACGCTGTTGGCCGCCGCCTCTGTGACATCACCGGGCACTGTGACGTCACGGCGAGAGGCTCCGGCCCCACTAGTCCGGGCGCCCCGCGCCGCAGTACATCGCGGCGGTCCCCGGGCGGCTAGGCCATGAGACCTTAGGCCATGTCGAAACGCGACATCGTCCTCACCAATGTCACGGTTGTGCAGCTGCTGCGACAGCCGTGCCCGGGTGAGGGAGGCGACGGGGCGACCCCGGGGAAGGAGAGACAGGGCGGTCGGGAGCCGGTGCGGCGCGCGTGCCCGCCTAGCCGTGTGCACGAGGGAGGGGGCAGGAGGCGGACTGAGGCGCCCCATCCCTCCCTCCCTCCTTCGCGCCCCACCCTCCCTGCCCCTGCCCTGCCCGCCGAGTGGTTTCTGTGGCGTTGGTGGTGGGCCAGGGAGCGGGTTTCCACCCGCCTTGGCGCCGCTAGCAAGCGCTGGGAGGACGGAAGCAGGGGCCGGAGCCGCGTCTACGAGGGCGCATTTCTAGGGATGGACGCTCCGGTCGCCCAGCGCCAAAGGGCCGCTTGGGGGTTGGTGGGCTTTGTCCTCTCGGGCGCTGGCAACCTGCCAGGGCCGCGCCAAGCGCCTTCCAGGCGTGCGCGCCCTGCGGCCTCACAACCCCCCGGGAGGCCAGTGTGTTTACTGTCCCCACTCACGGAGCGGACACCAGAGGTAAGAGAGCGCAAGCCGCCTCCCTCGGGCTCTCAGCCCCGGAAAAGCAGAGTTGGGACTCGGAGTCCCCTGCTGGCCCCCACTGGGCAGCCCTACCCCATCCAGCCAGAGGTGCACACACACACACACACACACACACCAGCCGGGTGAACCCAGGTCGGCTCGGAGGGCAACCCGCATTCCCTCGCTGCCCCCGCACTGGCCGCGGGCCGAGGTGGGCGGGACGCCAGGGTCGGGGGCGGTGGGAGGGACCCCTAAGAAGCAGCGCCCGCCCCGGCTGCGAACCTCCTCCCTGCTCAGCGCTCGCTCTGTGACCTCGGGCCTCGGTTTCCCCTCTGTATGGTGGATTTCTAGCGTATGCCTTACAGCACTCGGTGAGCTGGGCCACCCAAGAGCTCTGCACAGCACCTAGCCCATGGCGGCGCCCAGGAAATGGGAGCGGCATCCTAATTAGGAGAGG